AATGGGGATGATGACAGGGTATGAAAATTAAAAATATAATTAGTCCGTAACTTAGGTAATAAAAAAATATTAGACACGTATTTTTTTATTTTGTTGTATAATAAAACAATACTTAGATAAAACGAATCAAAGTTTAGGAGTGGGGGCTAAAACGTCATTTCTTAGTATAAAATGTACTGAGAAGTGACGTCACGCGACATTTCAAATCAATATATCTTCGAAACTATTCGTTTCCGTAAGAAAATAAAAAATACGTGTCTAATGTTTTTAAATAATCTACCAGACGGACTTTAAAATAAAAATTAGTCGTCTACTTTCTTCATCAGTAAGTACATAGTATAAAACAAAGTCGCTATCCGCCGTCTGTCTGTCCCTATGTATGCTTATATTTTTAAAACTACGCAACGGATTTTGATGCGGTTTTTTTAATAGATAAAGTAATTCTTGAGGAAGGTTTATATGTATAATACATGCATATTGCACCCGTGGGAAGCCGAGGCGGGTCGCTAGTTACTTTATAAAAATTGATTAGACGTATTGTAATAAAAAATTGTATGACAAGGGCACGGACCAAGAGTCCTTGGAGAATTAATCTATAACACTATATTAAAAAAAATGTTAAATTCACTCAATGTAATGTAACAGACTCTGAAAGAAATTAAACTATTGGAAATCCTCAATGCGGGTGTTGTCCTACTATATTTTTGCCCACCTGATAGCGCTAGTGTGCTACTCTTGCCCCACACTAGGATTTTCTCCTGCGTCGTGGGTGCGTTAACAAACATACAAGTTCACATACACATGAACAACAATGTGTGGACCACACAAAGTATTGTTCCGTGTGGGAATCGAACCCGCGTTGCACGGCGGCCGGTTGCCCAGCCACCGCACCAACCGAGCAGTTAAATTCATCAAGTCAATGTCATCTCGATCCTTTCAGCTGTTTTGACGTGAAAAAGTAACAAGTACCTCTACATACATGTATCAAATCCACTGAATCAAAACAAAATACAGTCGACACATTGGATTATTAGTTTTTCAATGGCAACTGTAGAGTTCTTACAGATGTTCTACATTAAGTTGACTGACCAGTATCTACTGAATCAGCGTCGTGAGGTGTCGGCTCATGACTAACTAGCTTCTACTTAGCTTAGACAAATATAATAAAAGGAATGATTGAATTAAGTGTGTGACTCACTGATTCTTTGATTCTGTAGTGACGTTTTGATCAGGGACTGAAAGCGGTTAAGGTATAACGGTACGGTACCGGTATAAAATAAGTGTACCGAAATTAAAGCTATACCGGTATTTAACCTTTATGAGATAACGGTACCGAAAAACTTAGATTTGACCGTTGCGAGACGTAAAGCTAGGGGTGTGCGGGGTGTGGTGCGAGGGGCCCCACTCCGAGGCGTGGAGCAGCGGCAAGCGAAAAACGCGCGCCTGTGTACCTGTTTATTCGTGTCACTGCTGCAACTAAACTACGCTACCGTTGTATGATTTGTGTGTACCGTACCTATCTAATAACTATATAATAGTCGTGTAACTATTAACTATGAGGCGGAAACGTAAAAATGCAGTATATGGATTGAGATATAAGTACTAATGAGTACATGCGTTTTTTTCATTTTCCAAGGAAAGTAATGTTTCTACATATTTAGTAACTGGATGCTTAGCTATAATAAAATAAGTATTGTACCCATTCATTGTAAACTTTGACCGGTCAGTGAGTATAGATGCAATATAGGTACTACTTATACAACCTATACCCTAAATGTAATTGGTAGGTATGTACATAATTATCTATCTTGTAGCTATAAGATACCTAACTATAACATTTATCTTATTATTCGGTACGTACCTATCTAAACTTTCGGATATCCTAGGTAGGTGTGTACCTAAGAACATCGTAATGTTTGTTTACTTATATTACATACCTACATAAAACCAGTCATTGGGTATCGTTCGTTAGGGTAGGTACTTACCTAAACTTTGATTATTTACTAGGTATATATAATATTATGTTCATAAGATGAATAGGATTAGGTACCTACCTTGGAATTTTAACTACAATTATTATATAATACAAATTATACAAGCCCAAACACAAGGTAGTTACTATAAACCGTTGATGAGTTCCCTTAACAATTACAGTTCTTCATCATCAGACCCTCAATGATAGTCCTACTCCATCTAGGTGTAAAGTTCTCATCAATACAAATCAATCAAGCCCAAACACAAGGTAGTTAATATAAACCGTTGAGGAGTTCCTTTGACTGTCTGTCGGCTCCATCATCAGGTCGACTCCAGACCCTTTTCAAATTGTACATACATACTTACATAACTTCACGCCTGTCTCCCACGGTGGGTTTTTTCATCACCTATCATTACCTGACATTCTGTTATCACCTCATTTCTTTCTATCACCAACACTTTCGTCTTGTTCACATTTACTTTCATACCTTTCCTTTCAAATGCATCATTCATAGCAGTGATCATTTGTTGTAATTCTTGGGCCGACGAGGCAACAAGCACTGGTCGTCGGCATACAACAATGTTTTAATCACTGTGTCATTCATCCTTAATCCAGACTCTCCTACTTTCAGGTCGTTCAAACAGCTGTCCATAAATAGGTTGAACAGCCAAAGAGATGCTACACAGCCTTGCCTAACAACTCGATTAATTTTAAACCACTCTGTGTAGTCCCCATTTATTCAGACAACGGCACTCGAGTCCTTATATAAGGATTTAAGTACCCGAATCAGGTGGCTATCCACCCCATACATGGACAGAGTTGACCACAATTCATCCCTCACCACTCTGTCATAAGCCTTTTCTAGGTCTATAAAGGCACAAAATACCTTTTGGTGCTTTGATAACACTTTCTCTGAAATGAACCGTAACGAAAAGACTTGATCCGTACATTTCTTGATCCCATTCCCTTTCGAAATCCCGCTTGCACATCCCAGATTTTACGCTCAGTTACATCCATCACTCTTTCGATCAATACCTTGGCATACAACTTTCCTACTACGCTTAGGAGGCTTATACCGCGATAATTTTTGCACTCCTGCTGTGATCCTTTTCCTTTATACAGTGGCACAATTACGGCCTTGGCCCAGACTCCAGGGACACGACCGCACCGCCAATACTTATTAAAAATTAGATACACCAGGCTTGCAATTACACCTCCACCCTCTGTTAGCATTTCAGTAGTTATCCTATCACATCCCGCTGCTTTACCTACTTTCAAACTCTTAATGGCACTCACAATTTCATCC